ACCAATCAGTTCAGTTTTGGGTCTAAAATTACATATCCTACCGGGTTCACTTCAGCTCCAAATCTTTAATATTTCTTGTCGAGTTGGTTCCAGTTCTAACTGGACCCGACCCATTAACAGTTCTAATTTTGGCGCCACCTTGCCTTGAGTAGGGGTGAGCAAGAAAAAAAAAACCGAAAAAACTGAATCGACTGAAAAATCGACCGAAATTGAACCAAAAAAATCGATTAACTGAACCAGTTGGTTTGGTGTTTTATAAAAACTAAAGGTACTGGTTCGGTTTCGGTTAACCAATATAAAAAACCGGCGATTAACCGAACCGACCGGTATACTTGTATTTCTATATATTTTATATATATTTACGTATATTATATATTTTTTATATATTATAAATTAATAAATATGCATTATATATAAATATATATATATATATATTTATAATATATTATATATTATTCATTATTTAAAATATACTATTTTATATATATTTATAAATTTTTATTATATATTTATATAATATATATTGTAAAAACAAAAAAATTGAAAAACTGACAATTAACTGAATCGGTCAACTGATTAGCCGACAAATTTCGATTTTATTCTGGTTATCGATTTTCCAAAAACCAGTACTACCAATTCAGTTCAAAAAAAAGCCCACAGTTTGGATAACCCTAGCCTTAAGGCATACGCCTTAGTGCCTTTTAAAAGCATGGGCTTAACTTTATTATACAAAATAAAACATATTTGATTCAGCAAATTTAACCTAAATGAAGACACCACACTTTTGCATCGAGTCGTGGGGGTGTTGTGAGGGAGATGGGATCTCTTAAAAAGTTAAAATCGTGTATACATTATTTTTGCTTTCAAGAGATCTATGCTCATTATGAGCATTTCCACTTTATTTGTCATATGTAGAACATGCATATTTGAAATTACAATAAAATATTATACATTGTATGTTATGCCTTAATCCTAATCTAGTTATTTTAATACCAAACACCACCTTAATCATTCCAACTAGAACAGGCAGATCCAAGCACCAATATTGAAGGCGTTTGTCTCTACTCCTGGTGGGATTATGGGAATATTTTAATATTAGAGTGATAATCAAGTGAAGGTCGTCACTCTTACTCATGGCAAATTGGGACCATTGGCTTGAAGACTTGAAAGATTAGCTCCAATGAAATATCTTCTGCCGATTTTTAGAATAATTCATCTAAAAGTTCAATTAGAGCGCATTAATTAATATTAACTGCATGTTATATTTAAATTTTAATTAATCACGTTCAAGTTTATTATAACTTTTTAATGGTTCATGTTTTACAAAAAAATATTTTTATTTTTAATAAAATGCACTTGTCATTGTATTTAACCAATCATGTCTTTTATTGCATGGTATAATGGATACACTATAGACTTTGCCCTACGCCCTAATCAAACATGTGCATAATAATTTATGTTAGCTAAAAAATTGTGAAAACAAACTAACCAAATACATGGCCTATTTGGGGTAGTCAGAATTGAAGCTTTGACATGCTTGATATGCTCAATATGCTCAATATTAGAAATGGATTATGGAGAAAGTTTGGATCTGCTGACCACAACACATTTTTGGCCAAGTTCATATAGTCGTACATTGGAAACATTTCTTCTACTTTATATCATTGATATTGCCCTACCGGATTTTTGAATCGGATCGAATAGAAAAATAGGATCCAATCCTATTTTGTAATTTGATTTTTTATATTCTTTATATTATTTTATAAAAATCCATGTATATCCCTATTTTGTTTAAAATATCTATGTTAAAAGTGGTTGAAAAAATGCTTGTTTGTATAGACTGTTCTGTTTACTTTGTTTTTATTAATAATTTGTTAAATGTTAACTTGTAGATAATTAAAAAAATCAGACTTTGATATTCGACATCCTTAGCAAGTTCAAATTCGAATTGATTTTGGTGAAATCCATTAGGTCATCGGATTGGATCGGATTTAGATATACCTCTATTCGAATTCAATTTGATCCATTTGCATCCCTAACCGTTGGATGAATTAACTAGCAAAGTGTTATGGTCAGCACTCAGCAGATATGGACTTGTATTGGGCGTGTCAATACCTTTAACCTTGTTCAAAACAAAAAAGTAACTATCAAATCAGCAAAAACAATATGACTTTCACTAATGAAGTCATTATTTCTTTTTGTTTTGAGAAAACAAAATCATACATATTGGGGAACTTCCTCTTAGAGAACATATGCTTCATGAGGCTATGCATTTGATCCTGAGGGACTATAGATGACCCACCATATCTGTGCGCAATAAATAAACTTTACAAACTTTTAATACTTGTTATATAAATTTATGCTTTGCATTTGCTGATTGTAGTTATAATTTATGCATGTATTTATTGCAAATTTTGCACTTTTTATTTTTCATTTGCATTCATTGGTAGTGCAAATTTTACATCTAAAAACTGATAAAAAATTTGCACCACCATCCTCTTGCATCAATTGATTCAATTCTCTCATATAAAGTGGGAAATTACAACATCTAACTTCCGTTCACACAGCCCCAAACAAATAACCTCCTATGATCTTATCTCCTTTATCTTTCACATAAAGCGGGCATGACTTCATTTTAATTATAAAAAACAAATAAGAAAAAAAAAATCAAATTTGAAGCAAAGATAAACCCAGAATTTACACTAAGCCTTTTGCACACCCATGCATTTACAACATTTACACTTCAAACAAACTGATACAAAGGCTCTTTTTATTTTCACTACAAATCTAAATTGGATTCAAAATTTGTATTGGGTTCTGTTTTACCTCTATTTGCTTGTAATTTTGATTCTCACTCCTATTTGATACAAAATTTGCATATTTTGTCTTATTTGCACTAATTGACAGTACATATGTAAATTTTCTCCACCTTCCTACCTCAATTTTTGCTTTCAAATAAAGAGGGGACCATGCCATTTTGCTTCCTACCCCATTCCAAAACAAATAACCCTCCTGCTACCTCCATCTCCTTCATGTAAGTTGGGGATAATATCATTTTACTTCCTATTTTACTTCTTACAAACAAACAAACAAAGTTAGTTGAATTGACATATATGAATGAGTTCAAATTAAATAAAAAAATAAAGCATAAAATAGGGGAACAAATTAAGGGGTCTGTGGTGGTCACCCTTTTATGATCATGATCCTCATCTCAATTTTCGCGATACTAATCTACATGCACTTACAATTAGCCCCTGTGCTTATTATTAGAAGTATTAACATTTTGAAATGGATTTTGGTGATTCTACACACCAAACTTGTCCTCATTGCAATCTCCGCGATGCTTATCTATATGCACTTACATGTTCAATTGGCATTGATCAGGAAAGGATGTCTTCTTTGATTTAAACCAAGAAAACAATGAAGTGCTCATTGAGTAAGCTATAGACATCTTGTTCTGCTCATTGCTCATTTACTCCAAAACCAAATGAAGAAAAAAAAAAAAGAAAAAGAAGAGTAGTGATCCAATGAACACAATAAAGTCTTCATTGAATGTGATCTAATGAGTTTGATTACATTCAACAAGTTATAAGTACCCTAAATATGTTCTTCACTCATTTTCTAGAAAAAATTGCCAATGTTTTCACTTTTTTCTTCTTTAAATAAGCAGTAACACATGAGGAATGTTGGACATTGTATGGAAAGTCCAATATTCATATATATTGCATTTACTATTGGGTAAACTTAGTTTGTTTTACATTTGTGTGCCGATAGGTATTTTTTTGTGCACTTTTGCAATTCCACTTAGTTTGTTTTTTGCATTTACTATTCAAATTTAGTTTGTTTTACATTTGTTTTACACTTTGGTTGGATTTCTCCTTCGGGTAAAATTTATTTTCTATGCTTTTGGGTCTGATTTAATGTGGTTAAATTCCCAAGCTGATCTGGGCAAGAGAAATGGTTTGTCTCTAGGTGAGAAATTGCATTCTGCAGTTTTGTCATGATAATTTTTTTTTTTTTATTTTCCCTTCTACTTTTTTTTTTCAAGCCTTCAAATCATAATGGATGAATATGCCCTCATGCATAGTTCAAAGTTTTGGTTTTGAAGGTTGTTGATATGTCAAATACAAAGAATTAAGGCTATGTTTGGTTTGAAGGAAAAATCATGGAAAGGTAGGGAAATTCATACAAGGTTTGTAAAAGTTTCTTCACCTTTCCCTATTTTTTCCTTCAAACCAAACACAACCTAAGGGAAACAAGATTAAAACATCGATACATACAATATTCAAAGTTGGGTATTAATGCATACCTACATCACCCATATTTTTTTTTATTCTTTTTTATCATTAGATGGTTGAGGCCCACAATTTCAAAGTCTAAATTTTATAAAATGCTTTCATATGGGATAGCTGTATGGTGTAATGAAGATTAGGTAGATTGTAACACACTTCCATGTAAAAAAAAAGAAAACAGATCAATTTTATAAAATGCCTTCATTGACAGTCCTACTCAAACTAGAAATAGGTGTGTCAATGACCGATTTTGGATTGGACCCGTTCAAATCAAGATCAATTTAGACGGATCAGACGAACCAACATGACATATTCAGGTCATTTGTAATGGACTCAAGTTGGACTGGATCAATCCAATTGACAATCCTAACTAGAAGTAGAAGACAAAACAATAAGCAATGGATGAATCCGATTCATCCACTTCAGCCGTTATCAAATAAACCTCCCTTTATCCTTTTGTCTAAGAAAAATGGAAAAGATATGATATGAAAAGAGTTTTGACCAATTAAAATCCACCCATAAATTTTGATAAATCACACACACCATTTATTATTTATCGCAAGGGTGTATCGGACTAAGTTGGCTTGGACGGTTGGACCAACGTTTCTAAATCGTAATCGTTTGCATCCACGGCCATGAGCCAATAAATCCAATTGGTCCCACCTAAATGTATTATTTATATACAATCTTTTATCTGGCTTATTATGATTTTATTGGACCCCACCGCCCACACGTTTTATCATATGCATAAATCACTCCCGTGGTTCGATTCCCCAAGTTTGCTACGAGGAGAACTGTAGACGATTGTCGTACTTACAAAAACATTGTTGTATGATATCGGTACAAAATGCAGTGGGGCACACACGTGTCGAGGAGTGGCACGTGCTACACAGTTCCATACCTAACCCTAAACATCCGCTGTGCTGTGTCAGATACTCTTCAGAAGCTGAAGCTCCTTGGAAGCGACGCCCTCTCAGTCTCAGTCTCAGTCTCAGTCTCTGTCTCTTCCCCCGACCTCCAACAGTAGCTTTTCGTCCTTCTCAGCCCCGCCGGCCGTAATGGTCGTACCACCACTACCTCCTCCTCCTCCTCCTCCTCCTCTCTTATTACTACCGTTTCAATGCTAATGCTAATGCTAGACGTGTCTCTACTGTCCACCGTCGATGATATCTGCTGCGGATCGCAGCAACCACCATGATCGTCGCCTCTGTCCTTGTCGTCCAAAGAGACGTCGCTGTTCTTAGGAAACAACTGTGTCGACCGACAGAGAGGACAGGACCCATGAGCGGACAGCCACATGTCTATGCACTGTGGATGAAAGACGTGCCCACAGTAAGGTATCACCTTCACGCTTTCTCTCTCCTCGAACTCGCTCAGGCACACCGCGCAATCCACCGGCTCCTTCGCCTCCCCATCGTACGCATACACCGGCAGGGATTTCACGGTTGTGGGGTCCACGCCACGCGGGCACGACGCCGACGAGGCTGCTCTCCGTTGCTGCCGCCGGCGTCGTGACAGTTCCAGGGCGTTCTCCTCCGCGAAGCGGCGGATGTAGACGGAAAAGAAACCCATGAAGAACAGAGCCGTCAGGAGCACCACCACTGTCAGAGCCATGGAGGAATCGAAGGTCGACATGGGTTGCAGGGGTTTTCTAGCTGCCGCTGCCGAGGCGATGGCAGGGGTTAGTGGCGGAACCAGGTAGTAATCTCGGGGAAGAGACGAAGACTCGCCAGGGTCGGGGGCATCTCTGTCGAGGAGTTTTCGGGTGTGGGGTTTCTTCATCGGTAATGGCTGACTTGCTTTCTGTGTGTAGAATCCTGTTACTCTGCCAGATGATTGAAAAAGATTGAAAGTTGGAATTAGAACTCTGGAAGTTCGAAAGAACGTTAGAGAGAGAGAGAGAGAGAATAGACGAGAGGAGGGAGAACCGGAGAAAGTGTCGTATCGTTTTATATAATCAATGTTTCTGAGTAGACGCTGGAGCAGATGGCGAGGGGGTCTGGATTTTGTGAGCAGAGGATGAGAATGGCTGCGGCTACGCCCTTGGATAAGACAGACAAACCGATTATCCACGTGTAGCTAGATGGGGTTGGGGATGGCCCACACAGAGACAAGAAACATGATTGGACGGTGCATTGGAGTGCAACTGGATTTCTAGTTTCCACAAACAACGAAACAAGCTCTGATGCCCTGGTTGCTCCTTGGTTGGTTTGCTCTGTGCCGTTTAGAAACTTCCCTCCGGATATTGATTTTGGGGACATCACAATCACTGAATCACATCCCGAGTTTCCTGTAAAACAAAATTATAATATCAATCAATAATAATAGAAGAGAATCAATTGAAATTGGTTTGGAACTCTGAATGCGGCTTCAGGCAAAGCAAAACACAGACATCTAACCTAATCATCTCAATCCCCACCCAGGAGAGGGAAAAGTTAAAGTTAGAAAGTAAAGAAAAGAAATAAAGAAAGGATGCAGAAAAGGAAAAGAAAACCAAACAACCCTGATTGATACTTGACCCACCTTGCAGCAGCAGGGGCTGGTGGGCCTAAAAATTCTAAACTAAAGCTTGAAATTTGAGTGGTAGATGTCACCCTCTTATGCAGTCCTTCGCACCCTGATCAATATCCATACAGCTCATACAGGATATCAATGAGCCCCAACTGATCAATCTGCACTGACCATTAGATTGCTTGATCAATGAATTTTTAGGTGGAGACCTATCTTACACCAAATAGGAAGATTGGTTTGAATTTCTCCGTGAAAAAAATGACCCTCCAATTGTTGTAGATAAGATTCAAGAGTAAGGAGGCATGTGCTTCATCCGCTTCTCTGTGATTATGTTTAATGCCACGTGTGTAAGAATTATAATTTAACTTAAATGTTTTAATAATTCCGGTTTTTTTATTTAATTTTGTACCCAAAACTTAAATGTTTTAATACTTCTATCTTGCATAGGATCCCTGACTTTGGGCCATGTGAACCATGGAACAAGGAAGCTTAGGGATTGTTTGTCTAAGGAAATGATTTCTTTTTTGTGTCCTTTTTTTTGGGTGAAAGAAAGAACATTGTTTATTGTTAATACAGTTGTCTGGAATGTCCAATTAAGGGATGAATTAGAAATTTGTTCTTGTTACTGGGCAACCCCAGTTTGCAATTGCAAACATCAAATCATATTCTCGGATTGGTCCAGGAAAGTAGTAAATTTATGGATAAGATGGGTGTTTCGTAATTAAGCGGATCTTTGAGGTTAATACTTGATAATCCTCTTCCCGGCCACGTGGGTGGTTCATAAATTCCGTAAGCCAAAGGGCAGAGAGGGAGCTAAAAGACGGAAGTGTCACTCCCGTTTGATCCTAATAATTTTCTGACTCTCTTCCCCCTTTCCATCCATCTAAATCCGAATCCAAACCCGATCCACATATACAGAGGTGGGTGTCTGGGTAATAGTCCAAGTAAACCAGCACTAAGTGCTGTCCTCGACTGCCATTTTTGGCAGCTGAGATGGCCTGGTACAGCCATGTCAGATTGGGACCCACCTCTATGTGACAAATTAATGTTCATTCTTCCACCATGGTACTAACAACATTGATATGGAGACATGTAGAAGTTCAAAAGAACTTACCTAGAAGATTAAGCAAATGCTGGCTGAGTTTTCCATAGACTCAATTTCATGTGCAAGCCCTGCATCAATGATACCCATTCAGAAAACATCTTTTGAATTATATCCACATCAAGCCCAATGTAATTGATGTGCAATGTATGGAAACAAATTCAGATCCAATTCTTCTCCCAAAGAAATAACAACAGATAGCAAACAATAACAACCATAGCAAATGCTAGTTCTAAACTGGTTCATTGGTTGTATGAATTGTTTGCTCCTGTAGTCATGCTTATCTTCTGATCAGGAACCAGCTCATATTTCAAGTGTTGCAGAAAAATTGCAAGTGCAACAATCACTTTCAGAGAAGAAAACTGATTACAAATGCCCTTTCCCAGGGCTCCCACTAAATGGATTGAATTTACAGTGCAAATTCTCTGAAAGTCGATCCACCTAATGCTAATAAACTATGATGGAGAAGGAGAACAATCGGATGTTCCCAAAATATAATACAGCAATGACCTGTAATGAATACCTCCAGAACAGCATAATAGAGGCTAAAACCTTTAGATTGGGACTTTTAATCTGAAGGATTGATATGATATATTGAGGACCCAGAGCCATAATTTTGACCATTAGAAAGCAAAATAAAAGATTCCAATTTTGAACATAGGCCTAAAACACCATGAACTGCAATAAATCCAATCAATCCTCAAATGAACAGTTAACCCAACAGTTTTAGCCCAGGACAATCCACAGTTTCCTGGGGATTGATATGAAATACTGAGGATCCAGAGCTACCATAGCTCCTTAAGATTCAGGTCCATTGAAATGTCTAAATTTCTAAACAGTTGAAATTCTATGAAATGGGAAGAAAATTAATGATCCAGAATCAGAAAATACTCATGTCCTTATTTAGAAAGATCTAGTATAAATGGACACCAGAAATCAGTGTTTGTCTTCATAAGACATTGGCTCTTCTAAGTCAACTCTTTATGGCAAAAATTCTTCTCCTCTCTCCCAGACCATGGAGAATATGGTCATATAAATTACCATATCAAGAGTAGAGAATAAAGTTGGAAATTATAATTCCCATATCCAAATTTTAGTTGTGTTCAGGGTTAAGCACAAATTTGAACAAATTCAAGGTCCAATGTTAAATTTAAATTGATCAAGTTTTGACACCCTAGATTCTGTAACCAAAGAGGAGACCCTAGATTCAAATGACACATACCTATGTTACTGGTCTAATAAAATAAATAACAAATCAAGAATAGAATATCACATCCAAGAGGATGTGATGGATATTACACACAGATATCATCAGCAACTGGAGATACCTAATCTACATTTGAAAAGTTGAGTTGCTAAAAAAATGTTTCAGCACAAAAAGGAAAATTTATCACTATTTACTGAATATTGACCACCTTCTTTCTTTTGGCATATATTGAAAGGATACCTATTACCCCATCTGAACAAATCCTTATCCCAATTATATGGTACTTGGTAGAATATTTGTCAATTGTCACCCTCTCAAAAAGGAAACTAAGGAAAATTGTAATTCACAAACTCATATTAATTATAGGGCATAAATTGCATTATAGATTTGTTTGGAACTTTAGTAAAAGAAAATAAAATGAAATTATATAACAGTTAACTAAAAAGGCCATTACAAAATGTCGGCTCCATCTATTTGAGGTGTTGAGAGGGATAGACTGGATAACAGTCTACTACATGATAAACATAATAATAACAAAGTGAAATCAGCTAGTATACATTGGTTAACTGTTAGCTTATTGTTACACATTTGAAAATGGGATAATTAAATTGGGCAGTTTCCGCAAATGCACAAAAACTCTATATAGTAAACTTGCCTTCCTGAAAAAAAGTAAACTTGCCAATTTATCAATATCTAACCTAGAACACGAACTGGCTAATGCTGCATGCTTTTTTCTTTTTTTTTTTTTTTTGATAAATAATGTTGCATGCTTATAATACAAAGGACATGCCACAAAGAAGTGATTTGATGCAAGGCAACAGTGTTTTAGAAAGTGTATGAAGCTTATGTCTTGAGGTTTGCTTGGTTCAACACATTGAGGCTCAACTAGAAGCTCATGCCTGAAATCAAAGGCACATTCCTCACACCTTCAAATCCCTTATATGAATATATAGACATATGTGCATATCTATGTGTATTTGACTATCTATATCTATATGTATGCATTTTTATTATATCTATGTTTCCACATATTTAAATAAGTATTATTAATTAGTTTATAAGCTCCAAACATTATCATAGTTTTTGTTTGTGGGTTCAGCTTTTCAATTATATGTTATAAAAATACGCTCCAATTGTGCATGTTTCCAAACTTATTGGGTTTTACTTTAGTGTTTCTTAACAAAATGGCAACTCACCTCACATGTCTAAAGGTTTTGACATTTTTCTTCACACCTAACGTTTTTGAACATTGGTTCTCAATGAGATAGAGAGGCAGAAAAGGACATGGATAGAAGTTGTGAGAGAATCCTGTGTACAAACCATTTTAACAAATGTGGCCAAGCATAAGACTGATTCATGCAGCCAACATCAAATGGTTGGGAATTTGGCACAAGGCGTAATTGAATTGATTTGAGCACAAGCTAGCTACTATTTTTTTTTTTTGATGAATAAACAAGCTAACTATTATTGATCTTTATTATAGTTTAATTAGTGATGCATCCTACATAATGATGACAAACAAAACTTAGAACAAAATTATTCAGAAATTGAATAAGTGAAGACATCTACCAAAAAGCATGCAGAGATCACTTCTCTGCTTGCAAGCAAAAGCAAAGGGTACTTGGATCTCATTTACATATTCCTCCTCATCAATCAGTTCTCCCTTGGCTTCCGCAATCTCTTTGCACTTTGTAATAAGTTCTTCAATGGTTCTTCTGATAATGGTAATAGCTTTTTCAGCTTTGTTTTTTCCTTGAATGATTTGTCATTAAGCTTCTATCCACACTGTGAAAACTAAAAAAACAGAAGTATTGATTTTTCATTTGGAAAAATGAGACAAATAGGAGCAAATTTGATGAAGAAACCTTTCAATATGATAAAACCAGTTCAATGAGCCTCTGCCTCTTTTAATGCAGTGTAAGCTTCATCAATTACAAGACCATTTGCAGTAAGTGAATCATAATTGCAATTGAAAACTGCCAAACCCATAACATCTCATGTTAATTGAGAAAACTTTGCCTCCATGTTGACTTTAGTACCACTGACTGCATCGGGTTTGAGCTTTTCCACCAACCCCTCAGCACATTTACAGAAGAACTCCATCTAATATCATGGAAAAATACTCGGTATGAAGAGATGGAACCACTATCCTTCGTTTCACCTAGCTAAAATCAAACTTTCTCCACAAGCTGTATGACCTTAATAAATTTATATTGAGAACGGAATGAGCTTCAATTATCAGCATTTTCTTTTAACTTGTAACCAGACTTTTGGAGAACTTCATAAACGATATAAACTGATATAGATACAGGCCTACATACGTATACGAATGAATATGAAAAGTATACATACAATGCATTAAGCCAACCTTCCTACAAGCCACTGAATTAGAAATTCAATCCCAATTTATCTACAAGTATACTACTGGAACGAAAGGATTACCGTCTAAAACAAGGTCATCAGCAATGGTTAAGCCGTACCTAAGAAAGAACTCAGAGATCTCTGCAGAGACAACGGACAAAGCCCTTGGCATAGCTTCCATAGTTCGTCAAAACATGCTTTGCAGTAGCTGGGTTATTGCAACCAGAAAATTACGAGGATCCGCTGCGAGATCTATAGATTGGTCCATACTCATTCACCGATTTGAACAAATCTAGGAAAAGGGGCACATCCCAGAAGGTCAGACATATCTTCAAGCTCGGCATTGGCAGTGGGTATTTCTGAATCGTCAAGGACAATGCTGAAGAACCTGGTTAGGGAGGTTAGCCAATCTGGGCTAACCCATGAGCCATTTGCTTATGTTGCAGCTCAATTTCTTGTATATTTTACTAGAAGTAGAAGAGCCACTTTTTGCAGAGGACTTACTAGAGAGAGAATGATGGGTCTGTGAAGGTGCTGATGGATGGTATCTGTAAAAGCCCAAGTGAGAAACGCTGAAGAATCAATGGTCACAGATAAAATTTTGAAGGGTTTCAATCAGTTAATCTTTGCTAAGTAGTAGGCTACTCCTCTCTCTCTCTCTTTTTCTCTCTCGCCCACCATTGGTCGACTTAACTGGCTGGTTAACGCTGAATCATGGAGACCGTTTCTCTGTTACCAAGAGGGAACCCTGGTTGAAGTCTGCTGAACTTGGAAACTGATTTCTCCTAGGCCCCCTTTGGTAACGGCTGAAGCGGAGGAATTACCGAAGTAATCCACCAATTCCATTCAGCCACTTCAGCCGTTTTCACTTTTCATCTGCTGTGCTGTGACCTGTGAGTGTGCTCTGTGTGGATCTCATCTCACTCTCAGGATCTGGTCTGGCCATGTGGGTATCATGGAATATACCTCAGTTGAATCTGGTCTGGAGCACAGAGCCACAGACCACAGGAATGGGTCTGGCCCGCATAACTTGCCTCTGTACTCGGCCCACCAATAACGGGTCTTATCAAGCCAATATTGATCCATCTTCCAGCTTTGGTTGAGTCCGGTTTTGGTCCCAACAACCACTGCATGAAAGATAAGAGAGATATTCCTAATGCACGGCTGCAATGGCTGTTGGGGCCCTGTGTTGGGATTTAAACCGAATTTGATTTGGTTGCATTAAGGCTATTTATGGGTCGGCTTGGGTCAATTTAATAGATTTTTTTTCAATCGACCCGACTTGGTTGGGTTACTTAAAGAGCAAACCGAAATCGACCTGTCATTAAACAAAATCGACCCTAACATGAAGGGTCGGTTTGGGTCAGTTTGGCATTGTTTGTGAACAGCCCTATATTTGGTGTAAAATTTCCTACTCAAAAAAAAGAAAACAATCCTAAAGATAAAAGTAATTCCCACTTAACTAATGTTTTATTGTTCTTTAATGGTAAAAATAAGTAACTAACTAGAAATAATAAATTAGGATAAGGATTACCTAGTTAGGGAAAGACTAGAAATTCAGAAATTAATTCGATTCGGTTCAATTTGACTTTAATTTTCACACATGAAAATCAAAATCGAACCGAATTATTAGTTTATCCCCTCTTCACAACCCAAAACCGACCAATGGTAATGAAAAATCAACCAAATCAGACTGAATTGGACCGATTTGGTCGGTTTAATCGGTTTAACATTGTTTGTGAACAGCCCTACGTTGCATCAGGGCTGTCAATAGGTTGTGCTCAATTCTGGATAAAGGGTAATAGACCCAGAACCGATCCCCAACATTAATTGGGGTCATCGCAGTTGACAGCCCAAGGTTGCGTCCGAATTGGACCCAAGATGAAAATAGTCTTTACTAGGTGCCCGTTTTGGGGTGGGGGTGGGCCGGTGGGGTTCACGCATGGGCTTCTAGCTTTGCGAGGTGTGCCCAGACACAGACAGAATAGAAGCTCTGTTTTGTGAAAAATTCAGAAAGTCAAAATATGCTTTTGTCCAGCAAAAAAAGTTGGCTTCTCCAGTGAAGCTTGTTTTCAGTATCTTCTTCAAAGCAGTTCAATGAAAACAATCCTATCAAAGCTGAAGCCCTCCCAAATGGGACCTTAGATTGGGAATGGGTTTGTGCCTTCTATGAAATGGACCTTTCAAAAACTGGACCATGGTTATCCAAATGAAGTTCGGTTGAGAAACTGTTGATTAACTTGGTGATTAGCTCATTCTGGCCATAAAAACTGTTGATTCTGGCTCAACATTCAAATAGAGGGTGCAACTTGGCTTGAACCGGGTTGGGAATTTGTTAAAGTTTTAATGATCCAAACCCTAACCCAAGCCAAGGTTCAAAGTATTGATACTTTTGATATCCAAAATTTGAGTAATTGATTGATTCCGATTATTGGGTCAACATTCAAATAGGGGTGCAACTTGGCTTGAATCGGGTTGGAAATTTGTTAAATTTTCGATTTCTAAACCCTAACCCAAGCCGAGGTTTAAGGTATTGATACCCTCAATATCCAAAATTTGTGTAATGATTTGAATCATGCAATGAAATTAAAAAAAAAAAAAAAAAACTGAAATCAATAAACTATTATTATTTTGCATATTGAAGGTTCAAAAATAAAAAAACCAATACATATCATGCACTAACATGTCCTGGGCTGGATGTAGTTCAAATCCTTCCAATCCGAGTTGCAGCCCTAAATTCAATTGTCTAGTGCGGTCTGAATGAATATATTGCTTCATGAGATTGGGTGAGTGGGGACCAAGAGGAATCTTGTGAAAAGAGTTGCCCCTCTAGTTGAACCATGCGCGTTCACGTAAACTGTGCCATTCCTTCTCAAACTGATCCTTCTAGGGTTTTGTTTTTCCCTTGGGAATAGAATTTCTGGTTTTTCTGGTCAATCAGAGATTGAGGGCCAAGTCTCAATATGGGGGTTAAGGAAATATAGATATAGTGTGGAAGTTAGCATCTTTAGCTGATGATGATCCTTACAAGCTGCAATGGGCAATTGGTGATCCAGGTAGTGTTTAGGGATGCAAAAGGATTGAATTGAATCACATTCAGATTGCATTTGGATAGGGATGTAATGGGCCTGGTTAAATGGTCTTGGCCTAACTCTATAGTGCCGGGTTAGGGTAAGTATATTTGGCTTTAGAATTGGGTTAGGGTTTTGATTCTTTAATCTGAATCGTTTTCAGGTTTGGGTTTTGGCTACCTGCCTCACTAGGTCTAGCCTTAAAGTTTAAGATTTATTTGCATGTTGGTTTTGATTTTCTTCTTCTTTTTTTTAATGGGAAAAGTGACACCTTAGAATCTATAAAGCAATTTTCTAACTTAAATTAATGAATTTTAGGTCTTCAAAATGCATTAAAAAATACAATTGAAATGCTGTGGGTCAATTCTGGAAATTATGTATTTTAAGGTGTGTCTGGTTAATCGGGTTCTAAAAGTGATTAAAATATTATATATTATTAATAAATGAAGTAAAAATCATTTTAATATTGTATATCATGAACAAAATAGATTGAAAATAAATTTATAAAACTTGAACCAATGACTTTTCAACAAAAGCGTTACATTCAAACCAACTTTATATATTAGATTGAACTAATAAACTGGTTTTGGATTGGACCAATCCAGTCCAAAATATTTATTAGATTAGATTGGACCTAGTCTGTCCGTAATAAATTTATATTGGATTGGCTTGGATTAAGCTAATATCTAGTCCATTGATATATGATAAGAATATAGGTATCAATGGACTGGGTTTGGGTTGAAAACAATCTAAATTAAAATGAATCTGAACAGATTAGACAATCCAAACATTGAATTGATCCGGTCCAAAATATTCATTGGATTGGATTGGACCTGGTCCATTTATATAGAATCACATTGGATTGGACCAAATCGAAACCAATTGACACCCCTAGGAATAAGGGACTTTTATTCCCTAACTTCCCAAATTGGATCCATAATTTGGCTTGGCCTGATTTGTTTATCTAATTTTATTTCTCTTCTATGTTCCTCGGTTTTGTGTTGTATTTAAAAAAACTTAGTATTATTTTTAATGAATTATATCGGATATGTTTGTCATGAAATCATTCAATTTAAATGCATAAACTATTAATTAGGTGAGGTACTTGAATAGGTTTTTATTCTTTAACACACTCCCTCATGTGTGGGTTAGCACAAGTCACCCATATCTTGGGCTGAAATTTAATTAATTAAAATGAGGGCATTAAACATAAAATACTAAGCCATTGCAAACAGTCTCCTTCCTATCTCAAGGAACTGTTCAAATTAAAAGCTTAAGCTATTGAGGCTGCTGAATAGGTTTTTATTCTCTAACAGAAGCTTTTAATCTATATCAACTGTTAATAAAATACATTACAACACTCTCCCAACATGATCTAACACCGCATATCTCATACATAATGGGTCCTAGTCTCATGATGAGATGTGCAAGAGGTGTAAGGGTGTTGGAACGTGTTTTGTTGATAGGAGATCCCAGCTCCTGTCACACTGGCCCTTCACTTGCTGAACCTATCTGGCCACTGAGATAGCTGTGGAGGATAGTACCTACAATTTAAAAAGAACCCAAAGTTATTTCGCTTTTATATTGCCGATACTTTACGTATCAAAGCAAGTTAGCTGGAACAAAATCCAGTTAACAAAGTCCCTCATATGGGGCTCTGGATTTGATAGGGTTGAGGTTAATCAGAGCTTTGATGTCTGAAAATGGAGTGAAGACGTAAAGATTCAGATCTTTTGTCATGGTCTCTTTCTTACACAGAGAGTGAGAGAGATAACGATCTGACCAAACTGGCTGAGACCTAGAAATGAGAGGCTGTAGCTAAAATATTACAGGAAGCTCGAGAGCTCTCGTTGAGAAAACCATGAACGCCCTAGCGTGTTTTCTGATAATTGGCTCTAAACTTCAGACAGCCAAGAGATTGAGTTTGTTTGAGGACACGTTAGGGCGTTCATGGTTTAGTTGTTGAGAGCGAGCTCACTGGAATACCAACCAAAGGTCCAAATTAAGCTGAGGTGAGTTCGCATCACCGCCCCACTGGGCCTCGCCCCGCAATCACCCCACATGACGTATATGTGACACCCGTCCAGTCGCACGCGGTGGGGCGTTCCCGCGTGCGACACTATATGAACGGACGTTAACCCTGCCCGTTAGCTGCTCGTCTCTCCTCCTTTCTCCTTCCCCTTCACTTCCCCTCCATTATTCAAATTTCTGAACTTCCCAAGTCGGACAGGGAAAACCCTCTTTTCAGTAGGAATTTCCTCCATTTCCACTGGTTTCTGACTAGAAGCAAACCCATCCTCTCCATCGCCTGGACACCCACTCTCCTCCCTTAAATCGTCAAAATCAAAAACTGGATTCTCAATGGCAAGGTTAGGGCTGTAAAGCGTCCCTCTACAGAGAGGGTATGTTGAATTTGACAGGAGCCATGTGCGTATACAGTTAATATGAAAATCATGACTACACATAGGAAGCAACCTCAGTTTGTCTTGCTCTGAAAATTCACATAGGCAAACTGTACAGTCAAACGGCTCTTTCAGACCCATTATCTCTTTGTAGAGGAAAACAGGCAGAGCATCTATGAAAGCTTGATCTAGACCAGAGTCATGCAGATGGAAGAGCTGTTGCAATTGCCTTTGAAGAGCATTAGAGCCAGAAATTTCCGGGTATCTGTTAGACAGAGGAAGACGGTTGCTTTATTAGGAATCTGACAAGCAGGTGGAGCAGGCAGAGATGAAGAAAATAACGGCTAGAATAACTATAATAAAAAGAACAGCAGGGCTGATTCTACTGCTAGATGATGATGAAGGAGTTGATTCTTTCTGGTAATTATTGTTATTATAAGGAGATGAGAATGAAGATGATGGGGAAGCAGAAATAGGAAAAAGCAGAGGAGCGAGTCTGGTAATTATTGTTATTATAAGGAGATGAGAATTAAGATGAAGGGAAGCAGAAATAGGAGAAAGCAGAGGAGCGAGGGGAGGTGGGTGGGTCAAAAGACCAAATTTTTCCAGGAATCCGATTCCAAGACATTTTTAGGAGATGGGTGGGCTCAAAAAACCATCTTTGTTTTCAGCTTTCCCAGAACAAACACAAAGGCATTGGTAGCTAGACTAAAAAAAAAACATCTTTTGACGAGCTATGTGGAATTAAAAAACGGTGGCCGAAGCTATCGCCGGTGCCGGAGATCCGAGTTCGGGTAGAGAACGGGGTGAGAGCCTCCGATTTGAGCTTGGGGGCGGAAATACGGGAAAAGCTTGCAGATTCACAGATAAAGCCCTTTTGAATGAGAATAGCAACTAACGGGCAGGATTAACGTCCGTTTATTTAGCATCGCACGCGGGGGGTGATGCGAACTAAGCGTGTCGTGTGGGGCGAGGCGCGGTGGGGCGGTGATGCGAACTCAGCGTCTTTCCATGGAAATTGCAAAAGCGTCTGTCGTAGGGGTTCTTTTTCTTTTTCAAGATCCCAAATAATAATAAAATAATATAATAGAGGTGTAGACAAAATGTACCCCAAACAATCAATCCAAATTATGTACGATGAAACGAATGAGAATGTACGAAGCCAAGCCATCAAATCCAATTCGTCGCTCACACTGAGAATTCCCTGCCCCATCAGCAGCAGCAACAGCTTGCTTTTCCATTTCCAGCCACCCAATTGTCTCATCAATGGAGTCTTATTCTTCTTTCAAATGATTCTTTATGCTTTAATACAAGGGGTTTTTCTGAATTTAATTCATGAAAAGCTCCCTTCCATCAGTCACACTACAGCTAGCCTTTCACAAGTTTTGAAGTATTATTTAGAGAATATAAAACATATTTCAAGGACTTTAATTAAGAGCTTAAGCTTTTAGGTTGAATGGAGAGACTATTTGACCAATGGGTGGATTTGTGCTTTAAAGAAAATTAAATTAAGTTTTTTAAATTTAATTGAATGAAAAGCTCTCTTACGGTGGTTATACTTTATACTTTCACAAGTTTTAAAGTGTTTGAGAATAAAAATCCATTCAGGAGCCTTAATTAAGGGTTTGTTCGTTTGTTCTCACGTCTCAAAGTGCAATAAATACATTAAGAGATATATTGGTATTGATGAATTTTTCTTTCCTTTCAACTTTGAATGCAAAGAATGTTGTTTTAAGTTTGGAATTCTGAATTATCAAATATCCCTTTTAATCCCATCTTAAAAAAAAAGGTTGTAAGATTCATCTTTAAAAGATAAGAGGAAAACAAACACCCATTTTTCTCTTAAAGTTGTAAGGGAAAACTAACAAGCCCTAAGAGAACGCTTTTAAGTTGAATAAAGAGCATGTATGACTAAGTAGTCCGGTATTTGATCCTCATTGCCCCCATTATATATATTAATTAAATTCAAGTACAAGGTGTATGGTTTGGTTTGTGATTTATATATGCTTTAATACAAGGAAAATTAAATTAACTTTTCAGAATTTAATTCAATGGAAAGCCTCCTTGCACCATTTGCAATTCAGGCTATAAAGTGTTAGAGAATAAAAATACATTCAGGAACCTCAACGAAGAGATTAAGCTTTTAGGTTGAACAGAGAGCTTGTTTTAACAAGTGGTCTAATGTTCGACCCTCATCACTCCCATTATATTAATTAGACCTCAGCTAAGAGCTTAAGATTTTAGGTTGAAGGAAGAGCATATCTGACCAAATGGTTTAATATTGTTCGATCATCACATTCATTATATTAATTAAACCTCAATACAAGGTACGGATGGATTTATGCTTGTTCACACTTAAAAACCAATAAACTTTGCTTGAAGGGACATGTTAAAGAATAAAAACATATGCAAGGAACTAACCTAGGTTGAATAATTCCTTCACATAAAGATGGAAACGCTGGCCCTAACTTTCAGAATATATGCTGATTTTTCAGCTTTAATGAGAAGCACCGATATCTGCAAAGCTAATATAAGTCAATGGGTATTGATACCCAGAATTAACTAGAATTTAGAATCCCAGCTGTTCTTTCCTGGAGTGGATCGAACAAAATGAGAATAATAGTATACATCTAAATTGCTTTTTTTTTTTTTTTTGCTTCTCTATCTAAATTGCTTTTTGCGGCATCAATTCCAGCACTGAGTTCTTCTACTCAACTAATAAAGAAAACCATATTTGATCAGCTGCTAGTGTATTATTTGATCAGTTGATGAGGCATTAATCAATATAATTAGAACTACAACTACTTGATAATTATATATCAAGTTAAGCATTAATTCAGGCACCATTTAATTGATACAGGTATTTTAACTTAACAAGGAAAACAGGACTAAAGAAGAAAATAAATAATAGCTGTGATGAGAGCTATCCTTAATTGGCTCCTACTCTCAGAGATCTATCTGATCTGGGTTTTCTTCACATTTCAATAAACCCTTTGCTAGATTTTTGATGGTACGAAAGTCAAGCTCGCTAGCTACGTGGATCAACCTTAATTTTGAATTCTGGGTTTCCATTTATCAAAAACCTAGGGCAACTTCCTAGATTCTAGGAAATTCTTCCGCTTTGGCTCACAAGACGATACGTATGCAAGGAATGTGGCGAAGTCAGTGTCCTTGTAACGCCTTGGATTGGCTTCATTGACCAGCTTGGGTGATGGACGAACCACCCTATCAAAGGGAAAGCTGTGCAGAGAAGCAACCGATATCCGAGACTTTGAAGAGTTCACCAGAACTCTATGGAGCACGCTCTTATACCTCCCATTGCTGAATATCTGTTCCAGAGAGAGAGAGAGAGAGAGAGAGAGAGAAACCCAGATTAATTAATTAGTCTAGAGTCTAGACCCAGAAAATTCATCAAACACTTGAAAATTAAAAGGATCGAACGAATTACAAACCTCGAGATGATCGCCGACGTTGACGACGAGAGAGTTGGGAAGAGGCTCGACGTTCAGCCATTTTCCTTGACAGTTCTGTATCTGAAGGCCCTCCACCTCGTCCTGGAGGAGGAGTGTTAGGAAGCCATAGTCGGAATGCGGTGGCATGCCGAGAGTAAGATCTGGCTGGGGACAGGATGGGTAGCAGTTGACCACCATGAGCTGGCTCCCATCTTCGAACTCTTTCAAGGCGGCATTGTCTGCATTTTCTTCGTCTGCGTGCATGGTGGTTCCCACCAGTAGTCCTAGGCTCTCTAGCACGGCTTCCACCAGCTTCATGTACAGGAATTTGGCTTGCTGGGAGTAAGTAACTGCTGCTTCCCTGTAAAAAGTATCGATTTCATTATATTACTGCTCAATTCCCCATTAACATATTGATAGGCATGCACTGATTTCTTATTAAATTCAATTAGGTAATCCGTAACTATGGGCTGTACCCACTAGCCACGAGAGAGAGAGAGAGAGAGGGTCAATGTAAGCTGTCTCCTGATCACCTTAAGTCTGCAGGAGAAGTAGGCCAATAAGGAAGGACATCAGAGGGTGGATGACAGACTAGCTTCAAGAAGTCTCGCCAGCAAAATACACCATCTTTCTTCTGGTTAAAGCTGGTTCCATATCGAACAGGCGCACGCATATCAGTCGACATGTACTTAGATCTCTCCTCGAAGGGGAGATCAAAGAATCGCTTGCTCACATCGATCATACTCTGTATAACATCCCCAGGAATGCCATGGTTGGTTACCTGCGTACAATCAATTAATCCGGCCACCCATGAGTTAATTCAATTGCTTTTCAAACGACCGAGATCATAATTAATTCAAACCTATTGATGAAAAGTTAGTATGGAGTTTAATTAATTCCCACCTGAAAGAACCCATATTCTTCACAAGCTTTTGACAGCTTGTTTAGAACTTGTGGCCTCTGGGGACCTTGCAATTGAGCGAAATCGATGATGGGCAGCTTAAAATTTAGGTCGCTGACATTCATCCCTCCCCCTCTCAGATTGGGTCGCTCTGAAACAGGCAAAATATACCTACTAGGAAGGCTTGTAATCCCACTTTCACACAGATGTTTGACTCCTTTCTGGAATCGACACTCCAATATTGGATCATCTTCTCTCTGACTCATTGCAGGTGACATAGATATAAATTGTAAGCTCCTACCTGAACCTGCAGCCAAATATATAGGATTGCAGAGAGATTCATTAATTACATTGTAATCTAATCATCACAGCAAATTAATTAAGCCCCAGGCAAGGCAAATTGCAACAAACAGAAACATGGGTGTCGAGAGTTTCTGGGCTAACAACTAATTAATTACCTGCAGATAATTAAACTTTAGGACTAAAAGAGTGAGCGGGAGAGAGAGAGAGAGAGAAGGAGTATAAATTAAACTAGAAACGAAAAAACCCAGAGGGTGCTCAGATTGTGTGAGAAACCTGAGAAGGGATCGAGATGCATTTATAGGAGAAGATGAAGGGTGCGGAACTGTGAAAAGCTCAGATTCTCAATGACTGGTTCCATATAACGAATCCGTTGACTAAGTTTGGTCAGAGCACGAGGTGGTGAGGACGAGAGGAGCTGCTAGCCGAGGCTCGCCAGCACCTCCCTCTCCTAACCAGGAAACTTCAACTGTGAGTTTTGTCTTCTCTTCTTAGGAAAACTACCTAAGAAGACCTCTCTCTCTCTCTCTCTCTCTCTCTGAACCATTGATGTTCATCTCTATGTCGTGTTTCGATCTTTCCTCTATTGCATGTGTACTGAGTTTTTCATTAGTTAAATTGGATTATTTGTTTCTTCACCTGTTAAACATATATTAATCATTTTGATGAAAACACGTGAAGTTGTTTACTTCTATTTCCTTTGTTTTTTTTATTCTCTGGTAATAACGCATTTTTTTTTAATTTATTTATTGATGGGTGCAGGAATAAGATGGTTAGATATGACAAATTCTGGATTATAGCCAGCGGATTAGACTTCAATTACTGTCGGCAGCATGCCATCCCTAATGACTTATATATATGAATATTGTGTAGTCATATTAATTTGTTGATATAATTTTGTCACATTCATCTAGCTAGATTATCAGAATGTACTAGAAACAGTTTTCAGGTATAGGGTATTGCATGTGCATGTGATTATTGTGGGGGGAGTACAGCTATATTGCATATTTGGAATGGACAGGTGGCACGTGCTCCGCACGTGGTAGGACATAGAAGGTAAAGGGGGTGCCTGGAATCTATTTGGTGATCAAAGGAGATGATTTGGGATTAATGTGAGTACAATATAAATGTATAAAAAGGAGTGAATGAATGATGAGTATTGCTGTAATTCCTTGATTTTCTTCTAAACACATATATATAGGGTTTTCATTTATAACTTAATCCCAACAAAGAAAGCTACTATTTTCAATTTTTATTAAGGATGATTGAATGTAATTAAGAACAGTGAATTAAATATTGGTGTTTTTAATTAGTGTGGAATACCAGTTGTTTTTTTAATAAATTTCCCATTATTATTAGTCATGATGAACAAGTATTTAAAGGTAATTAGGCAAAAAGATAGTTGGATTGATCAACTAAACTAGATTAATTTTCTTAATGTGAATTTCCTTCCCTCCCTTAATAAATAAGGAATTATTGTAATATAGTTCATTAGTGAATGCTCAACTAGTATTAGATTATAAAGAGAGAATAAATTAAAGAAATGGTAATAGAATATATATAGTTAGACGAAGGTAGATATGGGCATTTAAGGACTCTTTTCTTCTTGGAATTTCTTAAGGGTGGAGCAGATAAGTACAATGAACGTAACTTGTGGGTGGCGCCTCACAGATACATCCATCGTACATTGAGAATATCTCCCGTAAATAATAACTTATAAGTATGGGAGATGTTCCTAAGGCATGACAAGATGTGCATGTGAGGTCTGTGTGAGGCACCCTGTGTGAAGAGCAGATCCGGTCTCTTGGGAAATGGGGGAAATTAATTAAGATATGAATAAAAGTCTCTGTTTTAGGGCATCAAGTCTTATTTCCCTAACTAATTTATTGCTGAGAGGGGTTGTGAAATCGTGTGGCCCCCTTGTGTCTTAGGTCACATAACCCTTAAAAAAAAAAAATTGTATTAGCCTATTAGGCACGAGTGACCTATATCTACATAACCTACCCATACCACCTCCACGTCAACTCTCCTAACAAAAGTGATGGTTGTATCTACTCTGCCAAGCTGGTATACAGTGTTCCCTAACAAAAGTGATTGTTGCACCACTTTGTCTTTTTTATTGATTCCTTGCACGGTTGGATCCACTCACCTTCTGCTTATTTCTATATGTGTGTTTATACTATGATTTCCCTACCTTACATTTCACATGTCACCTGCATTTTGTTCCAGGAGAATCTCTCTCTATATAAATATATATATATATATATATATATATATATATATATATATATATATATATCCCATTAGCTTATGTGGGAGGACTGATAGATAAACTTTCTGCAGTGGAGTCCACACTGAGAACATGAACATGATACCCAAAGCAAACTGAAGGAATAATTAGTGGTGATTGGTAGAGTGATGCACACATGATATTAGGGTAGAGGGTGGCTTTGGCATGCAGCTAAAAAATATATATAAACTAAGTAAATGTCATTTGGTCATTGATGAGAGAGAGAGAGTGTGTGTGATTCTTCTATTGAAGAATATAGGTTTTGGTTGTGATTTCATTGTCACACAAGTTTTTGATGGGCAAATGTATATCATGATCTTGGATTGTTTACCAGCTATCAACCTCTGTATTATTGTTCCCCCTCTCTGTCAAGATGATTGCAGAGAAATTAAAGCTATATTTTGGTCCTACCATATACTGTGATGCTAATCACTGTCCTGTATATAAGACACAATTCTGTTACATGCATCAACTCTTTGATAGCTCAGAGAAAAGCTTATAAAAATGCTTGGCCCATCATCAAGACTGATAAGAGTCTTGACAAGACCAAAATAAAGTTAAACCACTCAAATCCTATTATTATGCAGAAAGATGACATATAAGGATAATTCAATTGATAGTAAAGGCCTTTTGAATGAAGTATTGGGAGAAAAGTATCTTTTCTAGGGTACAAAGTTATATATGATATTCAATATGAATTCGAGTACATAAGATCTTAGCTTCAATATGTCATAACTTTGATGACTTTCAAATCCATGCCCAAATTGAATAGAAAATTTAATTAGAAATCCTGACATCTTGAACTGATCAATTGAGCCATAATTAGTGATGGAATTTGACATTCAAAATCTAGTTCTCCTACAAAGCGAAGATCTTAATCTCAGATTATTATTCCTCCAATTGCCAATTTATATTAATTTATGATTCATTTCTGAGTTGTGGGCTGCATATATATTATATATTAATCTTCTGTGGCAGAACATTACCTAGATTGGACTTCTTATAGGCAGAACATATCCAAATCTTCCATTCCTTTTATTAGTATTTCTGTTTTTTGGTTACCCAATCACCTCTCTTCTATGCAACCGCCACTGCACATGAAATGAAGCACCAGCACAATCTCCTTTGCTAGCACAAATAGAAGTGAAGCCTAGCTACAACCATAAATTCCACAATTCGTGGTTGTCCATCAGATATTCTGCCCGAGCTAGGTTATGCTCCATTCATAGTGGCAACTACTAAGTGTCCTTAATTTTTTAAGCTCCAAAACTTATTCCAAGTGGAATGGTGACCATCTAATAAGATTACAATATAGAGGAAACAACACCTTACCTAAACCCTCATCAATATGATATCCGGGCCTAAATGTTCCCTAATATTAGAACTAAGGGGGCAATCTTTTTTTTCGGATTTTGACAGGGGGGAAAGCTGGTCAATGGAATTTTGGTACTCATTGACCAAGAAATTCATGTTTTTTTTTCAGATTTAAGTGGGGACCAGGCCAGAAAGCTTATTTTATCCATTTCTTAGGTGGGCAAATAACTTTCTCACCAAAAACGTCACATCTATTAATGGATTTTTATGACTAAAATGGTCATTGCCTTATTTACAAAGGAAATAAAAGAACATGGATAAATTCACTTACCCAGGTAAATAACTTACCAAAAAGCGAACACGACCTAAATGCAATACTGGGAGGGATATACATTGACCATTACTCCATAAAAAATCCATAGTTGATATGATGAACCTGGATCATCCAATTTAATTACCATAAAAAATTGTCAATCTGTATCACAGAAAGTAGTCCCTCTTCAATTGTAAACTTGGTATGAATCCTTGTAATTAGGGGTGGCCATGAGCCAAGCTCGAGCCCAATTTACAGGTTCCTTTAATAATCGGGCTGAGCTCGAATAGCTACATATATATAATATAAAATTATAAAAAATAATATATATAATATTTTATTTTTATATATAATAATAACTAATTATTATAATTCTTAATTTTTTAAATATCAAATAAAGAATATTTTTTATATATAATTTTTATAATTTTATAAAACATTTTTTCTCAAATTGAACTCGAACTCGATCCTTGTACTATCTTGATGAGCCGAACTCAAGCCTCATACTATTCGATTCGGCTCGACTCAAATCCACCTGTACTTATAATTAGACACAAATGATGATTTGGTAAATGCATCTTGTTTCATTTTTTCTGCCTGAATTCTTCTGTGATTCGATTCATGTCAATAAGTAGTTAGGGATTGAATTTCTGCCATTTATCTTGGTGAGAGTAATAGTTCTGTTGTCACTGATAAAACATTGCTTTCATTAAAAACATTGAATTGCATATATATATTATATATATCGGTTTAGGGACCTCGATCGGTCGCTCCTTTCTTTTAATTGCAGTGCATTAGGTCAGAGGTATCCTCTTCATGGCATGTTTCTTGTTGTCACTGTAGTCCAGAATCCTATCAGATGATGATCTTCCAAAGTTTTTTTCCCAGTGATATTTTATCAAAATGTAAAACAAGTCATAAAATATGAGAAAGAAGCAGTCCTTAGTCCTTACACAGATAAATTAAGTATCAAAAAAAAAATAAGAAAAGAAAAGCAATGGATGAGCTTAAAATATTCCCCAACAGGGTAGACCCACAACATTGGGATTCCATGGAGAAATGTTTTCTGAGGAGACATTTTTCGGAATGATACAAGGGAAGCTTCCAACTTTAGTTAATGAGATAGTAGTAGGATATTGTACGGTTCAACTTTTTCTTGGCTTGGGTTAGAGGGCGGATTTGACCCTCCAATGATATGGTGACACATGGTACTTCGGAACAATTAGGTGACACCTGGAATCACTTAGGCAACAACTTGCCTTAGCCAAGTTGATGGTGTCCCACTTGGCGGTCTGGCACAGGCGCGACCTGGCGGCCTGGCCCTGGCGTGACCTGGCAGCCTAGCACAGGTGCCGACCTGGCGGCCTGGCACATGCACGACCTGGCGGCCTGGCCCAGGCGCAACCTGGTGCGGCATGGCCCTGGCGCGGCCTGACCTTGGCGTGACATGGCAGCCTAGCACAGGTGCCAACCTGGCGGCCTGGCCCAAGCGCGAACTGGTGGCCTGCCCAGGCACCGACCTGGTGGCCTAGCACAGGTGCCGACCTGGCGGCTTGGCACAGGCGCCGACCTGGCGGCATGCA